TACAGAGTGAAAGACTATCCAGTTACTTTGGGGCATTTTTGTTACCTCATACTTCAAATACTGGTCCCGATGCACAGGACATGAAATATGCTCAACCTATTCTATGTATGCTGATTGCCTCAAACTCTATACTATATTAAATACTTCTGTTACATGTTGCTGTAATCCTTCTTGTTGACCTGAACCCTTGTACCCTTTGTGAATGGCCTGTATGCATGCAATTAAAAGCCTATTCTCTCTCCCCTCCCCCTAACGTGCGGTCTGAAGGCTGTTAAAAATATGGTGGCAATGGTAAGTGTGCCTTCACCTACCTGCACTCCATCCTATTCCACCCTGTTCTTCCACTCTCCACTTTCTGTCCTGCTGAACTTTCTAAAACACCGCCTCCTTTAGAAGCTGCATGACAATCATCAGTTTTGTTGTTTTCATGCTGATTAGCATTTGCATGCATGAAGTATAGCTGAGCAAACACTTACTGTTCTTAAATTTTCCATTGCTAGTTCCTGCAGTCAGATCTTAGGGATTTGGAGTATTTAAGGATTTACAATGCTGGTTCATTACAGGTCAGAGGAATATTTCAGGGCGGTAGAAGGGATAAGGCTATGATGTAAAAACAAACCTCTCATAATCATGAAGAGTGACATGAGGAGACGAGGCATGTTTCTATTTCCTGCATAGTTACGTCAAGTTGACAAAGGTGTCTCTGTTCCAAGCCAAGTAATCCTCAAACAAAACAGGCAAGTGTGCTCCTAGGGCACGTGTAAACCGCCACAAAGCAGAAACCCTTTCGGCTCCGCTTCCCTGCCGATGTTCTGTTGTCCTGCGTATGCTCATGCATAGGGCTCAAACATTCACTCACATACCTACTCCAGTAAATATTTTCATCCACAATAACATGTGGTTGCCATTATATTAGGGGTCTTAAATAGATGAAAAGGAATTATTAGATCTTGGATGATTTTAGTTCTTGATAGAAATTGTTTGATCGCATAATTTAATATGAATGAATCACATTTCCAGTAGAATTCACCAGTTTATTGTATTCTTGTACGTATTCCTAAGCACTGCCTCTTTCCCCTATCTGTCTTCTCCTTCTTCTTCTCCAGCTCCACCAGGTGCTAGTCCAACTCCAGACAGGGGAGAAAGAACAGGATTTCTCCCTCTTGCCTATTCAGGTGTCCATTAGTGTGCAGCTATGGAGACTGCCAGGATGCCATGAATTTCTGGCTGCTCTTGGTGAGTCAAGTGTTACCTAGGAAAACTGTTGGTCCCTGTCCCTTCTAATTTCCTGCCCACCATCCATCCACGTGTCCCTGTGGAGTCAGAAAAACATTGTAAAATTTTGTGTGTGTGCAGGATTTGACTTGTGTGAGGTCGGCCAGGAAGAAGTGGTGCTGAAGACAGGCAAGCTAGCCAACCGCCGCACCTTGCACTTTGCTCTCCAATCTCTGCTGGCGCTGTTTGGTAAGTATAATTATTTGCTCATTAATTTCATCATTACTGTTCTTTTTTGTATTTTCAGCCACTTGACTGTACATTGGAATCATCCTGAATGTACATTTAGTTGTTTTTATCAGGTGTCACATTTTTTTCTTTCCTTCTCCTTCTTCAGACTCCACAGAACTGCCCAAGCGTCTCAGCTTGGACAGCTCGTCTTCCCTTGAGTCTTTAGCTTCAGCCCAGTCTGTGTCCAACCCCCTGCCCATGGGATACTCAAGCCTCCCCTTCTCTCCTCCTTGCTTGGACAATCAGGCATCAGATGCCATCTCTGTCTATAGCCTGAGCTCTGTAGCCTCCTCCATGAGCTTTGCTTCCAAGTCGGACTGTGATTTTCTTAGTCATCGGCAACGCGGCGGGGTAACAGCACACTACTCTATCCACAAACACCCTCATGTTCCCCGTAGTCGCTCCTCTCCCCATGGGGCAGCTGCTGCCGTGGCAGGAGCCCGGGGGGACGAGGAGGAGTATGAGGGCTTTTCCATCATCAGCAGCGAGCCGCTGGGAAGTCACTGTGACTCTCTGCCTCTGCCACCGGGCCACAGCCAGCGCCACCACCGTGGAGGCAGGGGGGTGGTTGGTGGGTCCAGCACAGGAGCAGGGAGAGGCTACACTGTATCTGTATCATCAAGGGGCAGTGTCAGCACCCCCACATCTCCTGTCAAAACATGCCTGGTGCCGAGCCCAAACTCACCATTCCAAAAGGTGGGTAAAGTGAGCAGCTCAGATACAGGTGAATCTGACCAATCCAGTACCGAGACAGACAGTACTGTCAAGTCTCAGGAAGAAAAAACTGTCCCTCTAGATCCTCAGGAGCTGGCACAGAAGATTCTGGAGGAGACTCAGAGCCATTTACGAGCTGTGGGTAGTCTTCAGCGGGCTGGGGCAGAAGGTGGGACAGCTGGAGGAACCTCTGCACGGAGCAGCGCCTTCCGCTCTTCTGAAACAAGCGCGTTCAGCCGTCCTAACAGCAGTGCTAGTGGCCGAGCTCAATCGTCCCCACGTCCCAAACCTCCCTCTCGTTCCTCTTCACTGCAGAAGATAAGCTCTGGCTACAATAGCCCTGCAGTCTCTGAGTCTTCCCAAAAAGAGGGCAGCCATCCGTCGCCCACTCTGGACAGCCATGCACAGTTCAAATTAAAGTACCCAAGCTCCCCATACAGCGGCCATATCTCTCGTTCCCCGAGTAATGTGTCTCCCAGTTCTGGTCACCAGTCCCCGGCTGGTAGTGCTCCATCCCCTGCCCTGTCCTACTCGTCTACAGGCTCTGCCTGCTCTACATCGGCTGATGCCCCAGACTTGGACCGACTAAGAAGAGGGGTCATTGATGAAAAAGTCCAAGCTATCCACAATCTGAAGACGTTTTGGGCTAATGCTGCAGCCCAGCAACAGCAACATCTGGGTCCTGTCAGAGCCGTCCATGGCGCACCTTCTTCTGCCAGTAGGGACGTACTGAGCCTTCTGAATCTCTCCCCACGCCGTTGCTCCCCTAACGATACACAAGACAGCCTGGAGCTGCGGGAGCTGGGGCTGCAGTCACTAGACAGGGGCAGCAAGAACTCTTCCAATGGACACCACTGCTCCAACCCCAGAAAAGTGGCCCCGTCACCTACTATTTCCACTAGCAGTAGCCCCGGTCCTCGTTCTATCCGACTACCTGCCGGCAATGGATACAAGTTCCTGTCGCCTGGAAGATTTTTCCCTTCCTCTAAATGCTGAGACATTTAAAACGGTCCTATACCTTAATCTATCATTTACTATCCTGTGTGCTGGAGGAGTAGGGCACTTTTTGAGGACCACTATTGGTCCACCAAGCTTGACTGACAGTGAAAAGGATTTGATTGGTCAGTGAGTGTGATCCTGCAGAGGCACATGAATGCTTTAGAGTGTCTTGTCTTTGTGCCCATAACACTGTAAATGGCAATGAGAAATACTCAACGACCTGATACTGTGTTTGTGTGTAACTGTGTGTCAGGTAGATGTAAATGCCATTTGGTATTTTTTCCTCCAAAACTTTGGAGCTGTTTGTGTTGGCCAAGATGCAACAGCTACAACTGATTTCCTCCATTCTATTTTTTTGTTTTTAAATTTAATGGTTATTGTTATTATTGTTTGTTATTGTTATTAATATTATAATAATTATTATTATGTTTTGTAAATTAATTCCAGTGTTTCACAATCAGTATTAAGCGTTTTTATATTATTAAAAAGTGAACAAACCTGTACCATGTAAAGATGGATAGAGTGGAAAAAAAGATTTAATATTTTTTATTGAAATCAAAAGGGCATTTTGCCTGATTTCTTTGTGAATTGAGTGTCTGCTCTGAAGCATGGATTCTCTTGCTATTCAATGTTAAGTACCATGTATGACTTTTTAGCCCATGATTTTTTGAGATTAAACATGAAAGTTTCATGACAACCATCTGTCATTTATCAGTAAACTGTTTCAATAAAAAAAAACATCATGTTTGCTTTCTTGTATTCCTAACTTTTATATAGATGTATAGATAGATCTGAAAAGGAAAAATCACCCTTTGGTTGAGCTGCTCACACTAATTTTATGAGGGGTTACCAATAGACCTAGTTTCAGACAGTGGTTCTCAACCTTTTTGGTGTCAAAGACCACCAACTTGATACACACCAGGCCATGGCCCTGTATTTCAGAAGATGTAGTTTCAGGGATCCCCATCTGACAAGATTTAGTTCCATAATATACTACAGATTAGCAGATTGACAGTGAAGAGTTTGAAACCTATGAACAGAATAGTAATTCCTATACATTCTCTCATTGGGTTAACTTTTAGCCAGTGAAACAGTAGTGAAATTGAAACTGTCCCCAGTTTACCCCAGGTTGAGAACCACTGGGGAACAGTAGCAAAAACTACTATAATCGGAATAATCAGAATCACTTTTACTGGCACATAAAAAGAATTTGACTCCAGTTATATGTGGCTCAGACAAACAACAACAATAACATTTGTAGACAGTAAAACAATGCAGTGGTGCAGAGTGCAAAGGATGCTGAAATATATGCATGTATTTTTATGTACATGAGGTAGGTGGATATGACAGTACATACAATATACACAGCATGCATAAATGCATTTTAGTGATGATATTTGTGTTTTAAAAAGAAAACACAGTTTCAGATAGGGTTTTTGCACAGTCACAGTGTTTCTAAGTATAGTATGTATACGTTAGTGTATAGTAGATTACAGTAGATGCAAATGCCAGGCACCAGGTCCAAGGACACGTTATTATTAATAAACTGCATATTGACAACCTTTATTATGAAAGAGATAAATCTTTAAGTGATGTAGCACCTTAATAACTGATGTACTGAATATATGGCGCTGCTCGATTTATAATAGGCGGGTTAAAAAAAAAAAAAAAAAAAAAAAAAAAAGGCCACCTGAGCGAGATTTTATTGGTTAAAACCAAATTATAAGGTCCGACCATGCGACCCTCTGCAAATCACCGCTCACGAGGCTCGCGAAGGCGGGGTCGGCCACCGTACTCTTGCCAGCTCATGACGTCAGCGGCAATCAGCGGTCTCCGGGCAGTTACGGTAGAGTCGAGAGGAAGGAGCGACGATGGTCCTCATCAAGGAGTAGTAAGTGCGATGTTTCTGCCTAAACTGTTGGGTGAGGGGGGGGGGAGTTTGTTTTTACATAAGTGACGCTACCGCCTCGTTTAGTTACGGAGTCGGTTCGGTAGTTTTGCGGTAGTTTTGCGGTAGTTTACCGACGGTTGGGCACTTAATGCAAACTTTCCAAGCTTGCCTCAGTGTGTGTGTGTGTGTGTGTGTGTGTGTGTGTGTGTGTGTGTGTGTGTGTGTGTGTGTGTGTGTGTGTGTGTGTGTGTGTGTGTGTGTGTGTGTGTGTGTGTGTGTGTGTGTGTGTGTGTGTCGGACACACGAGGGACGGGTGGGATTGTCGGGCTGCTGTGGCCTACCGGCTTTGACAGCGGTATGGCGGTGTGTGACAGCTGCTGTTGGGCTACACTTTCTCACACACTCCCGTTAAGTAGCTGGCTCCCTAAACGAGTCAGTGTTTTTTTAAAAAGATAAGAGTTCCGGAATTTGTGCTTTTTTTTTTTTTTATTTATTTATTTTTTTTTAAGCTGTAAAACTTAAACTAACTTGAAGCTACGAGTTAGCTCACGATTTGCTAATGCTAGCTGCCCTGAACGTAACTTAACTTGAATGAGGAAATCAGCAAGCGCTGCTGCTGTTATCTGTGCTGCATTGACACCTAAAGTCGTGTCGGCGCCAGCTAATCTTACATAAGATAAGATACTTTGATTAACAGGTGGATTCGGTGCTTATTTTCTCATGTCGAGCCCAGCTATTGCGAGCAACTAACGCTAGCTTTCTGGCGGCGGTAGTGTTTAGGTTACGGCAGCTAGCTGTTGCTGTTAGCTGTCTGAGTCATGAAGTTGGATCAAAAGATGTTCGTGTTGACATTAAAGGCTGCCAGTGTTTAACTCTGGTGATCCATCAGTAAAGGAATTGGTGCGTTTTGATCTTCAGGGCAGGAAGTTTAATTAAAATAAAGAGAACATCATGATTATATTTATATTTAGTGAGTCTTTGACTAATATTCCCTCTTTTAATGGGAATATATTCTGCTCAAATGACATTAGCTGATACATTTAAATGAGATAAAGTACTGTAGCACAGGTAGTGGACCCTGGTTTAACTAATTGCTTACACTAGAGTATAATCTAGACAAATACCGGCAAACCTTATTAACAAAGTTTTAAAACAAGTCCCATGTCTGGTTAATGCCTTTCATTTACTTTGACTAAATTTTAAATAGTTTTAGATTAGTACCATCATGTGGGTCATTCCCAATACCGCGTTAATCCCTCTCTTAAACAACTAAGTCGTTATTTATATGGATACTAACCAGGCCATCTAAAAGACATGCTCGCATTGTGAAACGAATATTCTACCCTAATTATCCAGAAACAATTGTACACCTGCTCTACATGTGTTGTTTGCCTCGTGTCTTTGTCCACTTTGACTCAGTAGGGTTGAAACATTTGTCTGTTTGCACAGTTAAAGGCAGTGAATTTATCAGTGTGCTCCAGTCCTCCTTTGTTCTCTCTAAGGTTGCTGTCCTTGAACTGAAAGGCCCCTGATACAGCAGCGTTTTGCTTTGGTGGCGAATCCTGTTCCTACTAGCAGCATTTTCTGATTGGTCAACACCATTCAGACACTGAAAATGAAACTTGAGGTTAAGATAACTCTACACAACTGACATTTACTCTTCACCTGTTCATGGTACCTGTCCGTCTTCTCTCTTCACCTCATGTTTAGTTAAGCATTTACTTGATAATTTCGACTAATGGATCATATCACATCATATTTTTTTTCCCCCAATACCCGTTGCAGTGATTTTGTCCAGTGTCCTTCAGATAAATGGAGTATCAGATTCGCACATCCCTAGTTTTAACACCTTGTTCTTCACTTGGATTTGAGGAGTGGAAGCATGGACGGACTGACGAGGTTTGCCGGTTTTATTCTGTACTCTACAGAAATTCAGAAACTCTGGCATGAAACAGTTTAGAGCTGCGTAAAACCGTGTTACCGCAGTATCCAATACCATAAATATTTCACTGCATTACTTAAAACGTTATGAATACACTTGTATGGCCGTAATCCCCTCAAAGCGCATGTGAGGTAAGCAGAAAAAGAGTAATTCTGAAGTTGCCTTAACCTGCACTCATGCAAGGGATCACTCACCAGCTTACTGAGTGTAGATCGGGTCTACATGCCTCCACATACATGTAATGTTCTTCAAAAGTGCTGTAGCAGAAGCCCTGCATCCTTTTTAAAGGGCTTTTACAATTTTAAATTTGAGAACCATCACGATGTACCCCGTGCTCTCGATTGTGTTCAAAGTCAACATCACTCATCTCAAGGCCTTGCTTTGAAGTTGTCAGTGGTCTTCGTACAGCCTGGAGAGATAAAACGTTGTCACTGGATGTTATGGATTAACCTCATTTCTCCTCAAGTTGATATAATAGTGTTAATTCTGGTCAAAATGAAAATTCTCATAGAGCACATGGGTAGGAAAAAAAAAAGAATTGCTGTGCAAAGATATGTCTTGCTAATGCATTGAGACAACTTCCTCTGCCTACTGTTTTTTTACTCTTGCACTCTGTGGTTAGTGGTCATTGACTGAAGCTTCATGTTCATCAGAGTAAATGATGCAATTGCTTTAGGCACAGCACACCACGCCCTGAAGTAGCAGTCTGTTGGGACATGAACAAAAAAGTTGCTGCTAGGCGATGGCCTAAAAATATAATCTCAGATTTTTTTCACACCACACCTGATTTTTACAATTTTAGTATTTTTTAATATTTTTTTATTTATTTTTTTTTGGTAAATAAACTACAAAATGCAATATCTTTGCAAATGTGAAATGCCACCGCATCTATAATGTCTTATCACTGGGGCCCCTTCTTCTTGCCATTTTTGCACTGATTTTAAAATCAGCTCTAGTTACAGCATATATTTACCATGCACAAAGTAAATACTGACATGTGGCTATCTCATGTAATAAAGATTCAGGTATTATTGCTGTACAGCTGTACCTTCTGCGACTGGTCTGTACAAAACATTTGTAGTTTTTTTTGTAAGCAATGTTTTTGGCCCAAAATGGTTCAGTGCTTACATTTTCCTTTCCTCCTCTTTCTCCCTCACACCTCTTTTCATTGGCATTTTCTTTATCCCTTGACCATAACCAATCTCAGCTTTACTCAGCTCTAACTGTTCCTCTTTGGTCTTGGGATGGGCTCCTCATCTGACTGAAGCCAGCAGTGTGTCAGACTGGGCAGTAGTAGTAGTTTTTATATCAGGAAGAGTGACCAAGACTGGCTTCCTGTTTAGCAGCGAGAAGGTTTCTGTTTATTGCTGAGGTGATTTCTAATGCCAGGATGGAGCGTGCATTGCTGTGGCATGACTGCTTCTTCTGCAGTGGTTATTTTTTCCTTTTCCATTTAATACGTTTTTGAATGTTCATGTTCTATACATTATAAGTAAATTTGAATTATGTGTTTCTGCACCTTCCGTGAGTTAACACTATTTTTTGGAGGAAATGCTATACTTGTTGTTATGAGCTTGTTCACTTTAAAGTTGAAGTTCATTTGGCAGAATTGCTTATTGAGCAGTGTCTTTTAAGAAACAAGTGTTGTGTGAATGTTACCACACTTCTCTTTCTTTTGCAGCCGTGTGGTTTTACCCTGTAGTGTTGAGGAGGTGAGTAATCTCTTTTAGTCTCCCTTATTCTTATTCTCATTATTCTTATTTTATTTATTTTTGATAAAATGAGGAAGGCTGTGAAAAGTGTTAATTTTATTTTCATTTTAGAGCCTCTGGGTTCTAGCTAATGTCTTTTAAATGTCTTTAATCATTATGAATGACGACAAACTAAGCTCAAGTGTAGAGGAGTCACTCTTACAAGACAATAATTTTTAAATAAAGAAATATATATTAATGAATTGGTTAATTATTTAATATTTGTTTCAGTTCCGCTATAATATTGACAGACCTTTTTATACTTGAACCCCAATTAATTTCCTCTGTTCTTCTGCAGTAGAACCCCAGTCGCTTATTTTGGCTTAAAATGTGTCCCAGACTTGGTGGTTTATAGGAATTCCAACAAGTCTCTGCAATGCACCTTTCTTAAAGATAATTGCGTTACCCACACAAAGAGTAAAGGCAGTAAATAATGAATGCACTACTATCTTATCATCTCCAGTGTTTGGCTTCTGGATGCAAGTTAAGGCAGCACTGTCTTATCCCAAAAAAAACCACAATTTGTAATTCTTGTGTTTGTTTTACAAGAGCAGGATTAGTTCCCTGTGTTTATAAATGCTTATGTCATCAATCCCAGACTCCCCGCTGCCTTATAGGGTAATGCAATCTCTTGGCATTTTAAAGCTCATTCGAAATAATTGAAAAATAAGTGTTCTCTTTAAGGGGAGAAACACTAACAAGAGCTCTTATAGCTGAAATGTAAGCAAACATCCACCCTTGGGTTGCTCATACATCATAACACAAGACACAAGTTCATTCAGCCTGCAGCATGTGGGATAGACTGAAAGTTTGAAATGCAAATAGACTGTCTGGATTATGGCTACTCTTCATTTTGTTGTGATTTGGTAAGACAGCAACATAATTGAGGTCGGGGGGGGAACCCTTGCTCCCACACCACAGGTCTGACACAAACTTATTTGACTATTGGAGTAGTTTTTGTTGGCACGTTATTTAATTCAGCAATCTATTAGAGTGACAGCAGGACCGTAACGCATCTTACTAAATTTATGTTGGCTCATTTGCTCAATTTATAACACAAACAAATGATAAATGCTGCGTCTCTGTAATCACAACATAAGCATACGACACAACATAGGGCTGTAATCCAACAGTTGTTCCCCACAAGAGGTCCCAAGATAAATCTGGAGGGTCTCAAGATGTTTAAAAGAATGGGTATTTAAAAAAATATATTTTTACAATACAACATACTTCAACCTCTTCAGGCCTCTAAAATCCTTCAAATTACTTTTTTTTTTTTTTTTTTGGATGAACTGGTAATGTCTGCAGTAAGACTAATGCTGATGATGTGGTAGACATTACGTATAACTGAAATTACTGACATGGAGAATAATTCTGGTTTATGTTCAACATGCAGGTTGTAATAAAATAAAAAAAAACTTGTATAATTGGTGAACTGCAAATGCTGTAGTTGTTCCAGGACAAACAAAAGTCAGGACACAAACTTCCTCACCGAACCAAACATTACATTTATTTAGCTAGTTAGTTTAGACCAGTTTATGGTTTATATTCTGGGTATATTGTGACTGATATGGTTTTGTGTTACAGTATCAAGTGGGGCAGCTGTTCTCAGTGGCTGAAGCAAGTAAAAATGAGACGGGTGGTGGTGAGGGCATTGAGGTACTCAAAAATGAGCCCTACGAAAAAGACGGCGAGAAAGGACAGTACACACACAAAATCTACCACCTAAAGAGGTATGTGCCTTTTTTATTTTCTCCTACCCCTTCTCAATCTGATTATTTGATCCCATAATTGCCTTTCTACGGTGTAGTAGCACTGGACTACCAGGCAGTGGCAGCATTGTCTTTGTTGTGAAGTTTTCCAGTTTGATCATTTTCCACCTACACACAATCTTTCCTCTAGAACTTCGAATAACTGAGGGAATATTTCTTCCTTCTCCCTTTCTCCACCTAAATTCACCTATTCCACCGTCTTTCCCCACCTTACAGTAAAGTCCCAGGGTTTGTCAAGCTCTTAGCCCCTGAAGGCGCCCTTGTATTCCATGAAAAAGCCTGGAATGCCTACCCCTACTGCAGAACCAGTGAGTCCCCCTCCCCATATCTTTCCCTTTGCTTTGTCCTGAAGCCTGTATCCCTCTCTATGGTTAAATACACTGGTGTTATTTGCATCATGTCTCTGTATTTTCTGTCACTGTCAATTTGTAGTGTTTATTTGATTGTATATGTATGTAATGGTGTTTGTTTGTTTTTTTTTTCTTTCCCTTTTCTCCTCATGCCTAACCTTGGTCCAGTTGTGACGGTATGTAGCCTTTAGATTTTTTTTTTTCTTCTATTTTTTTTTAAATCATCAAAATATTAAGGTTTTACGCATGCTAAATATACTTTCTGTACATTTAGATCTGAAATATCCTCTCCTGACTCTTCTTTCCAGAATGAGTATATGAAAGACAATTTCTTCATTAATATTGAGACATGGCACAAACCAGACCTTGGAACACAAGAAAATGTGAGTAACATCTACATCCAATGAAGCAAATGTAGCAACAGATTTTAGTTTGTGTACTCTTCTGACATTTGTGCTTTGTTTTTCAGGTGCACAAACTAGACAACTACACATGGCAGAATGTATCTGTTGTGCCCATTGACATTACAGACAGAAGTCAAGTGTCTGCTGCTGTAAGTAGAAACTCTTCTGGCACACTTCCAGTACAAGATGAAAACAGTTTGGCGCCTTCATGTGGTCATCTGTGATCATTACCAAGCTATCTTCCAACCCCAATCCATTTCACTTAAGGAATGTTCAAATAGGTGTTAATTATTCATTTTTAATCATTTCATCATTTCATTTGACTCTACATATTTTTTAAAGTTTTTAAATTTTCTTTTAGGAACTTCAGTTAATTAACAGAAGTATGGGTTACAAGTACAACTGGGATGATTTTGGAGTATCAATTAATAGGAATAAAATAAATATTTTCACATTTATCTATTCATCTATATGTCAGAAAATGGAAAAACAAGCCCTTCACAAATTGTCAGAACCTAAGCTGACGTCATTCAGTTGCTAGTTCGTTTTTATTTTTATTTTTTAGAACAACATTAAAAAAAAACACTCAGTGTTAGTAGTATATTAATTGTTGTTTATTACTTTACTGTTGATGGATTGATTGATTAATTAATTCCACCCCTATGTTGCACCTTTTGCTGCACTGGAATAAACCTTTCTGACTGACTGTGCATTGCAAGAACTGACATTTTAACAATTTAATACATCAGAAAATCACATTAGACTGGTGTCTAACTGATTGTTTTAATGATGTCATTATGTTTTGAATGAATGTGAATTATTAACATTTGGGGGCCATTTGCATTAACCATCACCAGCTTGAAATCTTTGCATTTAGAGACAAAGGGTGTAATGGTACACAGTTAGATATGTACCTTTGGTTTTTGGGGTCATGGTTCAGTGAAATTTTGAAAAATTTAAATATTAGCTCATTAGTTCTATTCAATTCTTATTGTAACAATTACTGCACTCAAATACTGACAATGTCAATAATTCTCCATTGCACAATCTGACCTGTTAACTCTGAACAACTGCAGCTCCAGTATGCAACTTATAGAAGTTTGATGTAGAAACTTGAAGCTTTAGAGTTCACATACACTGAGAATGAACTTTACAGTAAAGTAGGAGACATCTTGTGTCCAGCATGAAAACAAAAAAAAGTCACATAATTTGTATATTCCAGTCCTTCCAGAAAAGTTTTTTTGTGATTGTTGCGGGCAAAAAGCCGTGATTATGCGGCACGTTTTCTTAAAAAATGCGATGGAATATGCAGGATATTTATGCAATTTTATGCGATGAAATTGTGGGAACTTGCAAAAACTGCGGTTTGATGAAAAAAATTTCACTAGGCTACTACCTGAATGTAAAGAGTCATTTCTTATTACTTCCTATGATAAGCAAGCATACTACATCACAGAAAGTGCTGGGAATATTTAAGTTCTCATCTTGTTTTATTTCAGACCTTAATAAACACATGGCTCAAACTTACAAAAAAAAGATGAGTCAAACAAGTTCTGTAGCTTTACAAAAGGAATATGCTCCAACTTCTGTAAAAATGAATAAATAAAATGTAAAAAAATAAAATGTGTGCTTCCTGTTTTACAGAGGTAGCTAGTGCTTCCAATGCACAAAGTGCAATCTCTTACTGTAACGTAAATTTACATACTACTAATATACATACAACTGTAAGGTTTTTGAAACTAGTAGGATTTAACCCACTGGTAACAAAAATGTGCAATCTTACAACTGTAAAGTTTTGTTGGCAAATGAGACTGATTTGCGGGGTTCATCATGGCTTCATTGTGGGGTTTGCAGCTTTTTGATGATGTTCACGTCGTGTAATTACGTCACTTCATAACGTTCCAATGGCAACAGGGGAAAATGGCTGCTCTTGTGTGAAGTAAACGCAACATTTTTCAACTTTCTGCTAAGAGAGATGTGACTTTTTTGCAACGAAAATGCGGGGGTTATGAAATCATGCAAGTCCTGCATATCTTGCGCGGAAATTGGCAATTTATGCGGCGAAAGTACGGCGTATTTGAAAAAATGCAGCCCCCGCATAAATATGCGGACTTTGGCTGATTATGCATTGAATTATGCGATCGCATAATCACGTTTTTCTGGAGGGACTGCTATTCATAGATTCTGGTGGTTAGAAAGAGTAGATACCCTTTTTAAGGATTTATTTTGCAGAAAAAACATATCAGACACACATTATTGTTCCAAGCAGACTATTTGTACATAAGTCTTAATACATGTCTGCAGGGTACCTTTTTAAAATGCACACGTAAGGACACATTAGAGTGTGGCTCAAATCTATGCTTAAATCTTGTATGTTCTATATGGTTGTATATCTGCAGCGATAAACCTCCTATAAAATGAGTTGTTACTTTGGCACAGTCTGTATCTGCAGCTGCCAGTCTGTTTTTGTCTTGTTCTGCTAATTGTCACATTCAGGTGATGCCGTTGTAAATTACACATTTGAAGTGTTAACACAGAAATACCCAACTTTAATTATACTATGTCAGCATACAGTGTGACATTAGCTGCTGCCCATTGAGCTTGACTCACCCGGCTAAGCCAACGAGCATGCTACAGTTGATAGACAACAGCTGGTGTACTGCCAAAACTTTCCAGGTAAAAATCGCACTGTAGAATTTCTGAAATAGTAGACATAAATAGGCAATTTTTTCAGTACTTGTTTGGGTCACAAGGTGTATCAAACTGAGGCACTCGAATTTTGGGACAAATACACATTCTATTACACCCCTATTGGAAAGTATGCACACCGTTTGAGCATCCAAAGATTGCCTCAATAAGATTTCAAATATGAGTTTTTAATACTCCATTTGGAATCTCTGAAATCTTATTTGAAGATGTTGCACGTTATTGCTGTTATTTGACATCGCATTGCCTCATTTCACTGTGGCACTGTGTGTGTGTGTATGTGTGGCTATTTGGCTGAGGTGTGTGTGTGTGTGTGTGTGTGTGTGTGTGTGTGTGTGTGTGTGTGTATATGTGTGTGTGTGTACGTGTTTGTTTGCGGTGGGTAGTTAACGAGGCGGAGGTGTTTGCCTTGCTGGAGGAGTGTGTTGTGTCTGAGGACCCTATCAGCCCTCAGCCTCAGGCATGGCTGCAGGGCCTGGGGCGTACCGCCAGCACAGATGAGTTTGTTAGTGTAATTAAAGCTCACAGTGCTTCGTATGCCGGAACTAGACAAATACACACATGACACAAACACACTTGCACTCTAACACACACTCTTTTACTTGAGGAGTAGGTCCTTTTCGTCTACCACGGCATATCGATTCACAGACCTCATTAGTGCAGCACAGTGTATTGTTATAGTGACGGAGCTCTCAGCATTAAAACAGCCAAATTATTGTGTGTGTGTGTGTGTGTGTGTGTGTGTGTGTGTGTGTACGCACGCAGGGGTGGGTTTCTATCTTTTTCCACTCGTTTGGCACCCTCCTGTTGGCCGATAGCCCTGAAAAGTAGCTTTTAGCTGCAGGCGCATCATGATTTATTTAAAATTGCTGGGCCCTTGAGCTGTTGATAATTTGAAAGCCATTTCATTTATTTGTATTTTTATTTCTCTTGCCGGTTTTATGAAGTCAACTTTGTCATGTGCATGGCATATGTGCTCAGTATTGCTAAGTGTTTTTCTATATGTTTGGAGTGCTGTCGTAGCTGTACTTGGGCTCTCACACACACATACTTTGATGTGCATTAACACAAGCGCTCATCAGCACACATGCAGGTAGATGTAGGCACATTCGTTTATGTGATCTGGCACCAATGTCACCCTAATTAAACAGATGTTGCTGTTGGCATCAACGCCCCATAGACGCTCTTTAATCTGCGAGCCACTTAAGGCTGAGTTGTGTTCTGGTCTTGCTGCATGACATTATCTCCAGGGGGTGGCGGGTTTTGGAGAATGAGTGCGGTACTCTTTGGCCTTACAGTGGCAGCGACTGCTGTGCTGCTTAGTTTGGAGCACAGTTGGTGAACAGTTGTGTAGGACACACAAACCACCACACCAATGCTTTAACCTACTGAATTCCATAATGAAATGAAACTTTCTTTGGTTTTGTGCTTTGTTTTAGAAAATTGTACTAAAAAAAAAACCATTTCAGAAATTGGAAAAAACTTTCCAGATTTCTTAAAGCATCTGTTTATTGCTCAATTCATGGTGTAGCAGTTTTCATGTATAAACATTTAAATTAGTAGTTCAGATTGCTGTTTGTGTCTAAATATAATGTGCTATGTATTGTATTAATTATATAAATTCTTCTCACTGTAGGACTACAAGCCAGATGAGGACCCAGCCAAGTTCAAGTCAGTTAAGACTGGCAGAGGACCCCTTGGGCCCTCCTGGAAGGTAATGCCCTTGTTAGCTGTGCAAATGATCACATTCACACACAAATGGCAATTAATGTCACAGGAGACTAAACAAAGATTCAGCCCATGTTTGACCCTGTATACCAGACTATTTAAAGGGTGTATGTCCATGGTCATATGACCTGGGTCGACAGCTGTAGTTTCACATTTTCCGCTGTTATAATTGCACAAGACTTAATAATTCTGTACATACAATTTCTGAGGAACTAAATAAAGCTTGTAATAATAAAATGGAAAGAATATGGAACGTCTGTAAATCTGTCTAGTGCAGGCTGTCCTCCCCACAGAGGCCTATGCCAACTCTGAAGAAGCTCCAGGGTTCGGTGGCTGGGATGGGAGACACTGCATACAACAGTTGTTGGAGAAACCCACAGAAAACAGAAAAAGCACTGTTGAAAACAAAACACATGACATTTTGGCTGGTGTTGCCAGATGTTATGTGAGCTTTTTGTGTGGTGTTGTTGATGGCAGCAGCAGCAGCATCATGCTGTGAAGATGCTCCTCTGCAGCAGATCTTGGAGAGCTTATATGAAGATAAGAGGGTAAAATGAGTGCAGCAAAAGACAGGGAATCTTTGAGGAAAACCTGCTGCAGTCTGAAAGAGAACTGCTATTTGGGAGAAGATTTATTTTCCAGCAAGACAACAACCCCAAAATAAAGCCAAAGCTTCTCTGGAAATGCCTAAAAACAACAATGTTGATGTCTTGGAGTTACAGAGTCAGAGTCCAGACCTCAATCCAATCAAGAAGTTGTGGCTGGACTTGAAAAATGCTTTTCACTCGCGGTCCCTAGGCAACTTGACAGTGCATGAGCAGGAAGAATGGAGAGAAATTGCAGTATCCAGATGTGCAAAGCTGATGCAGACCTATTTACGTGGACCCAAGTCTGTAGACTTGAAATGAATATACCACTACTACATTTGACATGAAATTGGTTACAGATCTTGTTTTATATATATATATTTAGATCCATAAGAGATTTTTCCACACCATCACCACATTGCCTGTAATAATCAGAATAGCTCTGCGTACAGGAGAGCACAGGGCTGGAGGAAGGCTAGATGGGGTCTGCAGGACTGTAAAGCTGCAATTTGATGATGACAAATCACCTCATTCTCAGCTCTAATTGGATGTAATAAAAATTTCTAGTCACCAGGTCAGATAAAGGCTCTACTCTGAGCTCAGTCTGCCAGACTTTGTATGTGACAGCAGATGAAGACAGAAATTGGAAACACTGTAAATGGACATTGATTGTAAATTCGACAAGCAGCAGTTCTGTTTAAAGACTGATGCACTTTTGATAGAAAGTAATAAGTCAATAAGACGTAGCTCATCCACACGGAGAAACTTTGTCAAGAGTTTTGTTGCTTTCCCCTCTAAACCCTGTTGTACCCTGCAGCCTCACAAATGGGTCCTGCTCACTGTTGGAGCACTGAGGATTTCTATTCTGCTGTGGAGCCCTCAAAGTTCACCATGGGAAACTTTCCTCTGCTTCAAGAATATTTGCAGAACAAAGGCAGCCAAACAGCTTTAAAAAGTGTGAATAAAGAAGCACAACTTTTTATTTTGTGTTTTTAATTAGATCACTTTCCCGTCCGCTGTGGACATGGAAAAAGACTGTTTTTGAAAAGGTGAAAAAAAAGTGGTTATGTGACAACAGAGGCACAATTTCTGCCAGCTTCTCAGAGCAATAAAACTCTTGTCTATCTCTGCATGCACACATGCTTGCATATCGGTACCCTTTGTATTTCTGAAAACTTCTGCTCCTTTGAGTGGGGCACAGAGAGGGAGAGAAGAAATGTCACCGTAAGTGTTTTGATGTAGAATCCGTTTCATGTGAAGTTCTCCTTTAGCGATGACAACTTTTCTAAACCCACTGCAAATTTAGAAATGTTTCTCATTTCCCCTCTCTCGCTCCCCTCCATGATCGTGGCATCAAACGGCAGTGGGATGAGGGTGATTGAGGCGGGTCTGTGGCATTTTCTCTTGGAATGCCGAGCCAGAATGAAGTGATTAATTAAACAGGTGTTCTCGGAGGGAGAGTATGTGTGTTCTGGGGGCGAGCAGGTCCTAGGTGTTAATAATGTAACCAGCTTTGCACCGCGACACCCTTATCGCTTTGCGAGCACCGTTTTATCTGCCTTCCGTGGCCACAAAGGCATGCCTGTCGGGAACGGTGTCGCTGTCAGGGCGGAGGCAGAGAAATGGTCCCTTCATCTGGAGTTTATCCACTTTGCTCTGCCCTAGCCCCCCTCCTCCTTTTCTTCTCTTCTTCAGAGGGAGGCAGAGTGCAAGCAGCGGATGGATTTAGAAAGTGTGTTGTAGATTAGGGCACTTTTATCTGTGCACAGCACATCTTCATATTGATAATTATTTCAGCAAGCTCCATACCCAAAGCATTATGTATTAATGATTTTTAGCTTTGAATGCAGCCAAGATTAGTCTAAAATAATATTCTCTCAGCCTTCTGCTGTTTTTACGATTATTCTGTCATTGAAAAGTTTCTCTCAAGTTTTCACTCTGTTATTTATTCTGATACTGCGCTTTACAAAGTGATGGGTTGTAAGTCTAGTCTTGTCATTCTTTTGCTGTTCTTCTCCTGACAGAGAGAGCTGGTTAGTAAGACTGACTGCCCAAGGATGTGTGCCTACAAACTGGTCACAGTCAAGTTCAAGTGGTGGGGCCTGCAGACCAAAGTGGAGAACTTCATCCATGAGGTTAGAGTGACGAGTTCACACAGTCTTCTTTGCTCACATGTTGTTCTCGGCCTCTGAGAGTTCTTGACTGTTTGTTTGATTGACCAAGACTAGTGCTGGGTTATTGAGTGCTATTCTATCATGATGATATATGTGATATTGTGTGTTTTTTGTGGGATTAATGTTATGTCATTTTACATATCATCTTCTTTCGCATATTTTTAACATGCATATTTAAAAATACTAATATATAATTATTAATATTATGATACTGATTTCAACCATTTCACCCAGCCCTAACAAAGCCTACCACTGTCTCCCTCAGCAAGAGAAGAGGATCTTCACTAACTTCCACCGCCAGCTCTTCTGTTGGATTGATAAGTGGGTGGAGCTGACTATGGATGATATCCGGCGGATGGAGGCAGAGACGCAGAAGGAGCTGGATGAGGTGAGTGCATTTTTATTCATCCTTATTTCGCCATGAAGGTCCCTTTTTTTAGAATGGTCAGACAGCAGCATAAGCAGCTTCACATAAAGAAAACAATGTTAGGTGTCAGGACACATGCAGTACAGTCAAGGTGCATAAGAAATAAAAATATCCCATCATTAAAAGAATGCCATGTGCATATGATGTACGTTTTAGTCAGCGATTGGCTTTGTGCGTAGAACTGTGCCCAACGTCAAGTGTGAATGTTTAAGTTGAATGGACAAGGAGCATGCTAGCAGGATAAAGCCGGTCGCCAGCTGGAAGAAATTCTGTTTTTAATTTGGAATTGATTAACCTTTTTATTACTGTATATTTGAACCCAAATGCTCCTGATTGACTGAACAATTCTTAGCTTCATACTTCCATCTCTTCCATGTCTGAATGTCTGAATATTCCTTTTTGCCATTTTCCCCACTGCATGATTTGCTGTCCATTGAAAGTGTATCTTCTAATCCTTTCAAATATTTTGTGTTAAATCATAACGTTGTACTGTACTGCCATTAATATTTATGATTATTTCATACCTTGCATCCTAAATGAAAACATTTGGTGGGCAGCAGAAAGTGGATTTTAACATTAATGTTGTGCTTTTGTGTACTTTTTCATATCCCGATCATAATAACTACTGCGCTGATGAAATATGAAGTATTCAGAATATTGAAATGGAACCGAGGGATATTGATATCGACATCGACCAATTTCCAGATTAACACCACTCTATCACTGGCTTCCCAAAGAGTAACATATCAATTTAGCATGCTTTTCTCTGTTGACATTTTGTAGCACAAATATGACTTCCCTTGACCCCCATTGTATTTCTGAATACGTCTTGAAATGCATAATTAACAAATGAAAGAAACCAAATCAACATTCTATAAAGCTTTTCTATGGTGGCCTAGTCCTAGCTGCCCCCACTGGCTTTCTAATCCCCATTTCTGTGCTTTGCTGTATTTTCATTTTCGTCTAGATGCGTAAGAGAGGCTCTGTGCGAGGTACAAGGGCTGCAGATGAGTAGCCAGGCCAGGTGTAGCTCTGAGTTTTGCTGTGTAAGTTCTCACTGATGAAGGCCTGTCTCTTTTGATGCTTTCACTGCTCCCTGTGGGTTTCTGTGTTTCTGCACACCTATCCTTCCTTCACTCTGCACTCTTTGGTGTTGTGGAAGAGCTTTTAGTCCACTAAGTCTAATTGTGCACGTGCGTGTATGCTTTCACATGCAACTCCATAGCTCACTCTGAGGTTAATGCATAACACCAGATTTCAGAGAAGTATGATGTATGTGCTAGGTCGTGGGGTGTTTTGCTGACCCAGTGAAAATCTCCTACCATGGTTTGCGTGTGTGTGTGTGTGTGTGTGTGTGCGCATGCGTGCGTGTGTGTTGTGTAGTGTAGTGTATGCGCACACACTTGTGTATGCAAGTGGCTTGTCCTCTGGATATATCCAGACCATCTGGGCAAACTTTTCTCAGAATCACACATGCTACTTTTTAAGAGGTGGCCAGCAGTTAAAAACATACACAGAAGGCCTGCTCAAGACAAGTACCTGAAATCCAGAGCCTCCCCATAGAGGAATACCAGGCAGAGAAGAAAAACAGTCCTCTTTTAAATCGCAGTCTTTAATTTCTGTGAATCACATTCTGGGTAAAACCTTACCACCGGTTTGCTCTTGGAGCTGCTCTAAATATCAGTCTGGGAGCTCTTGGCCGTACAAGGAGAAAAAGGGAGGAATCCAGGCTGGACTGGCCAAAGTGGGCCAGACTCAAACATTCCTGGCTTTCTACCAACATACAACTTTTTGTGCTTAGCCCCCCCCCCCCCTCACACATCTCGCCCAATCCAGCATGTGTTTCCCATTTTCCCTTGGAGTAAGTAAACAGGCGGGTGCCATCAAAGAGGGCTGTGGTGAGGAGGCTGACGAGGCCTGAACCTCTGGGCTCAAGGGTCAGCAGGGTCACAGTTGGACTGTATAGGACGGCACAGTCAGTGCGACGGTGGCCACAGCCTACATACACTGACATTCAGGTTCTTGACAAGACTGTGCTGGTCACTACACTTTTTTTGTCTGTATACTGGTCTGGCGCTGCTGGTGAAGAAGACTGAGGCATGAGAGAAGGAAAGGGCAAGAAGGGGGGGGGGTGCTCCTTTTTCCTCATTAACATACAAATGGAATTCTGCAGTTGAGAAGAAGTCTGTGCTGTGATTGAGAAAAAAGGGAGGGAGGATGGGGAAAAACGATGCAGAAGTGGGAGGGTGAATCCTCATGCCATTTCATCAGATCTGTCTATTCCTCTGTTTAGAGCCACTGTTAGTTTGAACTGTTCCATTAAGGTGTTCGGCTATCAGATTCTAACACTAATTGACTTTCCAAAGCCATCAGCCTCAGGGTGGGAGAATTTGAAAGTGATTCCTTTATCTACCTAGAAGACAAACAAGGGGCTTGATAAGGACTGTTGGAGCAGATTTTTAAGGAAAGGGTGAAGATTTCAGTTTGCAAAAGGAAACTTGTTGTATTTTTTTTAATGGTTTGTGATGCAAAGAGTGAAACCCAAAGTCATACATAATGAATAAAAATGAACCAGCAACCATTCATGAAGGGTTCCACTGAATGCAAGATCCACTAAACCTGCTCTCACCTGTTTAGCTTACATAAATCTAATGTGGTGTTTATTTTCCTTGGTTTCCCCACAGCTTCGCAAACGGGGTGAAGTACGAGGAACCAGTGCTGCAGACGAATGAAAAGGCAAAGGATTTTAAACACCACGATGACAACAGCGATGGAGACTGCTAAGAGGGCTCCTTTGGTGCCACTTTTTTTTTTTTTTTTTTTTTTTTACCTGAACTGATTCAGGCTGTGGAGGAGGGGGCTCTGCTACCTGCAATCAATAGAGCAGATCCCTGACTTGCACCCAATCATAGACATTCTATACACTGAGGAATTGATTTCTAGAAACCAACACGATCCTAGCTGATAAGACTTAATTTTGATCTCCTGGGCAGAGGAAGGCTAGCTATCAGCATCATGTTATTGACAACACCTAGCCTTCTGGAGAGATATGAAGAGGAGCCACTTGCAGTAGAGAATTTTTTACAAAAGCAAATTCATTGGCTTGATTCCACAGTGGCAGGTGTTGGACCAAATATTTCCTCTGTATTATTTTGATTTCCTTTTTTTTTTTTTTAATGTTATCTCCAAAACATTCCTCTAAAGATGATGCCCTCTCTGACCTCTCTTTGTCTCCTCCTTGGTTTTAACTGTACACACTGTGGCTCTGTGGTTCGCATTCCCCGGCATGAGTCTGTCTGTTTGTCATACTCGTGTTCCTTCCTGCCACAGCCTCCATTAAGAGATTACTAACACTCTTGGCGCCTTGGCCTATTGTAATCCCCCCCCAATCACCCCACCTTACCCAAAGCACTGCATCTTATTAACACTGACAATCATGCCCGTACAGGTATTCACTCTCATGCAGAATTAATAGAAAACCCACACACATGCATGTGCCACATATACATCGTGCGCATAAAGATAAATATGTGAAATCACTCTCTCACATACACGCACTCACAGGTGTGGATGCCTTTGCGGTGACTGATCTCTTAAAAGCAGGCTGGGCAGATCCATGCAAGCTTGTTCAGCTAAAGGATGTTACTTTGGAAGTGTTTACAGCTATCACAGATTTTTTTTATTTATTTTTTTCCTTTCCTCCCTCCACGCACTCCCTATTCCGAAGACATTCACACATAACATACAACACAGCATTCACCTCCCTAACAGATGTCCCCAGAGAAACACTGCACTGAAAAACAGCCACAGATGGTGCTACACCCCTCCAGCCTCTGTCACAAGCCAAACTGCACCGCACTGCTCACCCCACCTCGCCCAGCCCACCCTAGAGGCCTGTCTCGTTCGTCTGGTTCTCCGAGGTAGACCGTTTCCAAAATGCCTCTTCTTCTGCATCATTCTAGGTGTGTTTACAGATTCAGAACAGCCTTACCAGTGCCCAGCCAACACCAGCACCACACACACACTGCTTGCCTTAATGTCCGGACCTTTGTACCTATTGGACCTATTATACCTATTGTACCTCTGCTGCCAGCTATTGCTCTAGCTACCTCCCTCGTTTCTGACTGGCAATTTTCCTGACACCTAAAGGTTAGCGCTAGCTATTAGCTACTACTAGTTAGGAGTAAATCATGACAAACAGAGCTTTATGAGCAAAGTTGTTTGTGATGACTCTTCCCTTTATGCTTCCTGATGTGTGTCACAGCGCCTGAGCAAGTGCAATTCCTTCAGCAAGCAAAAAAAAAGTTGCTGCCGGAACAAAGGGCTGCAGATTTACATCTTTGCCTCAGATCAGCCGTTTGACGGATATGCCATATTAATGACTTTTCAACTCCATAGTGCACTTTCTTGCCTTAGGCTTCAGAATCATGTGGCACTGGCCTACTGTGTTACTTACTAGTGTTACATACATACATATATAAATATCTATATCTATATATCTATATATATCTATATCTATATAGATATATAGATTGGTTTCCTCATTTGATCCTCACTGGTGTTCTTTTGAGTTTTTCTGCTTTTTTTGTGGTGTGTCAATGTCTTAAATTTGGGGTTCGTTTTTAAAGATCAATTTGCATATTTTTCCGTAAAGACGTCGATGTAATGAAATACTCTGGGTTTAAAGAAACTAATGTTTTTTATTTTCAGAGGGAATGTGATCACTTCCTCAGTAATGGGTTATTGGCTTGTCCAAAGAGTGTGAATGGATTTCTGATATGTTTACATGAATTCAGCTATGGTAATATAGGAACATTTGGAATTGTCTGAGGCAACGGTTTTCATAACAACAAAGTCTTCTCAGGTGAACAACACACAGGATCTTTTTGATATTGTTACTCATCAGTTGCCCCAAACACTTCCTTTTGCCATTCCGTATCCTTTGTCTGTGGGGAATTTGGTAATACAGTTTAAACACAACGGGAAGTGGTTGTATTGTAGCCTGTTCTAGCGCAGTATATGCCCTTTGTTACTGTACTGGATTTGTATGCGTATGTCTCAAAGAGTGAAAAGTGTGAAACAATTGGTCCTCAGTGTAATCAATCTCTCCAAGTCTATCTCAATGATTCCTGCTGTCTGTTAAATAGAGAACCCAGTAGCTAAAGAGAACAACTTAAATCAATGGTTTACCATCTGTCAAGACGATGCAGGGGAGAGGAAGTATTCACTAAGCAACTGTACAGTCTTATCCTAATTTATGAAATCTACAACTGTTAATTTCTGAACTGCTTGCTTTTAAATGTTTCTGATCAGCTTTTGAAATTCAGGGGACATGGTAATGAATGTATTACATTTTGTGCCTTTTCTTTCTGTAGATCTTTTTGTGTGCCATTAAGTCTACATATTGTACCTAAATATCAAATAAATTTTTGTCTGGAAAATACATTTCAGATTGTGCTTCTGTTGTCTGATAATATACAGGTGGTTGTTGGAGATTGAAGCTTAAATCGAAGGGGTTGCAGTCAGACTCCTTTCCTTTTTATGTTTCATGTATTCCTGTTTCTTCTAGACCAGTGGGCATGTATATGTATTGGCTGACAAGATTTGTCAGTGTCCCATTTCTGTCCAAAGCCTTGGACCAGCTGATAGCAGTAGTAAGCTCATAGGAGTGCATACTAACTTGGGATCCAGTCATCTAAACATGTACAGCTTGTAAACAACTGTCTCCTAACTCAGAATAAATCTTTTAAATAATATGCAATGACATTTGAATTGAGGATGTAGGCAGAGCTTCATCTTGACTTCATTTGGAGTAGCTTAGATAAGGTCTGAGGCTTGATTAGAAGTATTAGCTCTCTACTGTAAAAGGCACATCAGATAGGATAAACATCCCTTCAGAAAAGTTTTCAGTGACTCCAGCATGGACTAGACTTTCAGTGACCTGCAGGTCAGAAGAGTCGCACAATAACAGCGGAATCCGTGCTAAAGAGCAGGAAGAGCCGCCAGTCTGCTGGCTGAGATATCCGCCTTTTTTTATTGTTTGTGGAGGAATGGTCACATGTGCGTGCTGCAAGGAAACCAGTCATATCTGCCCCAGAACAAGCGAATAATGCTGTTTCTAAAAGCGGAGATGGGCAGACTCGCCCACACACCTCCTGTTAAGTGGCAGCTCACAGTAGTCTACAGTAGGCATGCATCCATCCATCCATGTGTCTCCCTCCTTGAGAAGATGAAGGGACATGTCATGAGTGAGCCCCTGTCATTTAAATAGATGAGGCAACAGATGAAGAGAAGAAATGAATCTCAAAGGGAGGCTCAAGACTTGACACAGCAGGACATCCAGGCATGTTGCCGAAGAAAGACTCGATGTTCAGAGCTAAAAACAGTTTGTGATAGCCAGAACAGCCAGCTTATTGCCTTAATACGTACGCAGAAGTAACAATATTCTTAAATGTGTCAAAATGAATAGAAAAAGAGCTGCAGTGCTGTTTGTTGCACCACATGGCTGCATTTCCTGCTACAAGATGACACGCTGGGATGAGAGAGTCTCTTTTTGGAGGAAGTGGCAGGGTGAAGATATAGCTCCAAGTCTGGTACACCCCTGCCATGTTTGTGTACAGTATGTGAACTTCCCCTGGGGCCAGATTTGCTCAGGGACTGCAGGTTTTCTTGGAGAGGAAGGTTATTTTTGGCTTAACATGGGTTGCCAGTGATGTCACGAGTGTTTCCTCATCCTCCGGGCTCGGGTCAAGTTTAGCCCCAGAGATTCTCCTGAGTTTTCCTGTTGTTCTGAGAGAGGTGGAAGAAGTGCGGAGCCAACTGACGTGGAGAGGCGGGTGGGGGGGTTGTGGGTTCTCTGTCGCATCCCTCCCCTTAATACAATGGTGCTTCTCTGGATGACAGATGCTGCTTAACCCACCCTGACCCAGGGAGTTGTGATGGCTCAGTTGAGTGACAGGCCCATAGAGGACACACTGAGGCTCCGCTCCACGCTGCCCAAACTGCACAGGACGCTGTCCCCCCCAACAAGGGAAGGAACTGTCTCTTTGGGAAACCCCCACGGTAATATATGTCTATCTGAGGAAAAGCTTAACACTGTGAATTAAGGCTAGAGAAGGGCACCCACTTCTGCTATCTTGTCCTATTGAGTAAAATATTGAGACAAATTGAGTACTAAATCACTGCCGAGAAGAGTGGTATTGTGACAGTGCTTGAAAGCCTGTAGACTGTCCATTGTCATGAAGTCGCCTCAGCAGCAGCTCTGAGCTGCATTTATCATCACTGGGGACTCAGGGGGAAAGAGACCATGCCATCGGTTTGTCATACTTAACTTGTCTGTCTCCATTCGAGTAGACTGTAGACAGAGCCAGCAGGAACTGTATCACAGGGGTATTAGTATTACAGTCAGATAGAAGACTATCTTGATTTTCTTTCCACTGTTGGGCTGCAGAATACTTCTTTCTGGTGTTGTTAATGGGGTTTTATGTTACAACGAGCCTTTATCAGTTGAGAAATGAACATGAATCCTGGTATTTCTGAGGGGGCTTCACAGAGCAGTGATGGCAACCCTGGTTATAACAGTTTGATATGCACACACTTTTGTGTTTGTCTGAGTAAAACTCAAATGATGCCACATCCAGCTGGCTCTCAGATATGGAGGCAGTTCTCTTGCAAGGTAACGCTGAGAGAAATGTGTGTTTTCTTTTAGTACAGCAGCCTTCAGAGCATCTCAACATGCCTCTCCTTCCTTCTCTTGAACACAGGTACTTTACACCATGTCTCCTTCAAAACACAACCACCGCCTATCCCTGCCTCCTCGCTCTGAGCTGCTGTCCTCTCAGCTGCAATAATTGCATATACACACCCCCAGAAAATCCCAGATATACACACATACTTCCCCGCATTCTTCAATTCCTTCTCCTGACCTGTCTCCAGCCTCCGCCCTGACTTACAGCCTTCTCCTATGGGTGCAGGTGGGCATATAGCCTGCTTCTGTGAGTAGTATAATAATAATATCTGATTATATTTGAAAATGTATTGTGGAAAATCATACATAGACATTATTTTCCTGCTCATTTACCTCAACTGCAGCTGGTAAAGAAGAAAAGGAAACATAAGACCTTAGTTAGTGATCATTTGTTACTTAAAAAATAACCTTAAAATAACTTAAAATAACTAATTTACTGGGACAGGAGACATTTATCTGATTATTTTTCAAAATAAAACCAGTCCTTCAACACATGATTGTTTAAAAGAGAACAGATTTCACAAAGTGATAATGGATGTTTACATTTTCTGTATTTTATAGGATTTTACATGATTTACAAACAAAATATGTAAAAGAATTTTGCCATAGATTGACATTTAGAATTCAGTTCAGACGTATGCCTCATATTATTTAAAACTATTTTCTGAACGCTTCAGCATGAGGGCGGACAGCTCTCCTCCGCTCCCTCTGGCGGCCGCTAGGTGGCACTGTGTCTGTTTGGTAAAAGTCCTCTTGGTTCCCCCCCAAAGGTACAGAGCTGCCTGACACCAAATTCTCTAAATGCCCACAGTCCACATTGTCGGGAAAGGATAATATGGTGTTCTCCTTTCACCAAGGAAAATATCCATGATGGTGAATTAAAGTACATTTTGTTCATCATTCCCACATGTTTCCTATATTCTGAATGATCACAGAGTTCTTTTAATCTCTAACAAGTAGACTCCCTCTCACGTACACACATTCATGGATTCAATGTAGGATACGTTTTGGAATATTTTTTAATGTATCTTTCTTTTTGTTAAAGTGATTAGAAATTTAACATTTTTTACATGTTAAAAAAAATTCAGGAGAAGAACAAGATTTAAAGTATCCCCCCCCCAAAAAAATCACAACAGACTAAATAAGTGAAGACAAACAGATGAGTGAGCCACACACACAAACATTAAGACACACTCTGAATTACATAACAGTAGGCTAAATAAAACATCTGACATACGCCTATGCAAAACTATGGCATAACATTTAAATATATCACAAAGCAGATTATTTGTGTTAACATAATTAGGGCCACACACACACACACACATATGCTGACTTTCTTACTGGGACTTTTGTCTCACATGAACATTTAGATATGCTATTTACAATCATTTCAGGTCTTATCTTCGGTTGTTGCACCACTTAACCCCACACAGATAACCTCGGCTCTATACAGCTAATTAACCTGTTAAGCAAAACATCCTAATTCGGCCTTGGAAAAATGTCCCATTTCACAGACTATCATACTAAGAGAATGCTATTGATTATCGGAACCGAAGCCCAATATCATCCACATGATTTAGTTCAGATGGTCTTTTAAGGAGGATTTTTTTCCCCCCCTTTCTCCCCCGTTGGGAAACGGATTCACACACTGAGACTGGGGCGAGTTTGAGTGGTCACAGGGGTGAGGGTCAGTCACTTTATAGTATTAGTATAATTTATACCTTTATCCTAACATCAATATCAGCTACAGGCCACGTTTCTGTCAGCACATACCGATCAATCTACTGAGGCCAATGGATTTCACCAGTTCACTGATATTCAGTAGGATTTCAGATTCATCCCTAATTACCTAGACCTGAGAACAGCTTCCACATCCAGCCTGTGACCCCAGCATTAATGCCTGACTCGTCTCAAATGATTGTGTGTAAGTTATAAACCTAACAAACAACTGGTTGCTCGTGTAGTCGTTGGACCACAGCTCGTTATTGGTGGAACTCTATCTCAGTTAATCTCCAAGTTATTGCCTCAAATGTTTAAAACAAGTTGCAGTGGAGATACAGGTCCAGTGGAGTGCTGATGGCACTGCTCGGATCAGTGGATGCAAAAGGAGAAAAGGAGGTTGGTACATATGTGAAGAGAGAGGGAGAGAGAGAGAGAGAGAGAGAGCTGCTGTTCCAGTGGAGAATATGAGAGTTGCAGGAGTGTTGTAAACTTCAGTTCAGTGGCATAAAGAACAAAATAAATAAATAAAAAATAATCCAGTTCATCCTTAATCTTCTATCTGATGATGGGTTTTAATGTGAAGATATAGCGCTGGATGTTTTGGTCGAAACATCACATTTAAGTGAAAGTCGTTCCTAAGATCTGATTTACACACAGGCGTTTACAATCTCATTGACTCCGCGGACCACCTTAAAAGCATTTGTCCCGCCCCCTGAAGCTTTCTCCGGTCGCTCCGATTGGCTGAGACCTCATGGATGGAAGCGGCTGTAGAAATGCAAAACTTGTTGCTGGTTCCTCTGGACGCGTTGATCTCACACAGCGCCAAGCGGCAGAGCGGAGTGTGAGTGTATCTGTGAATCGCTCCCAAGTGCACTCAGACCACACCAGACAGGACTCGGTGAACGGAGCAGGACGCACACGCAGGAACGAGACGCACCGAAAGGACTTAAGGCACGGCGCTTCACTGCAAAGC